TTTTTTTTTTTTTTTTTTTTTTTTTTTTTGGCTGAAGCAGGTCTGTATGAAGAAAAAATGCCCTGTAAAATGCTGAATTTACTATATGACGTCTTCAGGTAAACATAGGGTGCGTGGTAGGAGGGGTAATAGAATTGCAAAAGCCCTATGTTTTTAATGTTTTTTCGCTTCTGAATTACGGACGGAATTTTTTCTGCTTTATAATGTTTGGCGATACGACTGAAGATAGCTACTGAAATTATGGTTCCCAGAGTTTGGAAGTTCTGAACACATTTTGCAATTTTATCATGGTTTTGCAAAGGCATTACTTTGCCGTTTGAACATTCTTTAAAAGAAAAATTTGTATAGAAAAACTTTTTATCAGTAGACGAGTCAAGTTCATTCTGTGTATTTAAAAAGATCTTAAGGTTTTTATTTTGCTTAATTAGGAACAGTAAGTTGCCTTTATTTATTTTTTATTTTTTTGTTCGTGGAAGGGGAGTGGGATTTGAGGGGACGTTCCTTTTTGCTTTATTTTAAAAATGATGTATTTTTATTTAAAAAGCTACTAGTTTCAAAAATTGTTTTATCGATCGGGAGTTCGTTTTTCTTCCTTACATAACTTTTTGCTTTTCTTTAAGAATTCGTACTGTCTTTTCCAGAGCTAACCAAGGTGCTTTTCGTTGCAACGTCGTCAGGTATGCTATATATATCACTAGATACTAACCATCATATACCAATGCCAATTCCTTTGTTGGAACATACAGATGTGACGTACGTTGACTATGATCCAGTTGAAAAAAATTTATTTTTCGTAGAACGTGAGACGAAGAACATAATGAGTTGTAAAATAAATGGATCAGATCTGCAGGTTATCAGTTACTGCATGGCTAGTTTTATATTTTTGTTATGGTATATGCGTAATTTTCTGCGCTTTTTTAAATTTAGTTGTGTTAAGATGTAAACATTTTAGTCAGAATTGCTTTGTATTAACTACTCGGCTTTCTGAAATGAACAATATTCTGCATTTTGGTGCATTTTACAATTTTTAGAGGTTGACGCAGTCCTCTCTCATTTCTGCGTTTTCAGAGCGTGTTGAACGATTTTTTAAATTTTTTAAGGAAGCAAGTTCAATATGTGGTTGAAATGTGTGCTTAATTATGATATTTTTCTTTTCAGGTTTTTGTTGGCAACTTGAAATCAGAACCGGAGTCAATAGCTGTGGATTGGTTAAATCGTAACCTGTATTGGCTAGATTCAAAAACTGGTCGATTAAAGGTTCTAGAAGTTCCTGTTATCTCTCATTCAATTTTTTTATACCTACCAAAGCTTTTGTAATAATTCCCCATAAGCAGTATTGGAGAAAAAAGCCAATTTAAAATTTTTCACATATCAGACTCTGGCTCTGTCACGTTTATAAAGTATTTTCAGATCAAAAGTCTCGTAACTAATCAAAGCCGCGTATTGTTTGCTGACAGCAGCCATAGTTTTCAGAGTTTAGCAGTTGATCCAGATCATGGTTATCTGTACTTTACTGATATTATAATAAAAGAAAACAAGTTTTCTATTGTGAGGACTTGGCTCGATGGTAGTAATCAAGATGTTTTAGTAAGTATACAGTTTTCTTAATGTTGTGTTTCATTTTGCAGTGGAAACGGCTTGAAACTTTTGTTATAGTTTATAGGATACTTATTCTTTCCTTGTTAATTTGTTTAACTGGGTTATATTTTGAGATCAATTTGGATTACGAACCAGCTGGAATTGCTGTGGACGGCTTGAGTAACACAGTATACTGGTCGGACAATGAGAGGGTTCTCTTGCGTTCTGCTTTTTTGAATAATGGAACTTATAAGGATATTTTCAACAAGAGTGATAACAGGCCTGCTTCAATGTCTAAATTAGGTGGAACAGATGCTGTTTTTTTTTATTACTGGGAGTTTTTAATGATGAGATTGTAGATTGAATTGGGTGATAGCGTTGAGTCATTAAAACTCTTCTATTTTTAATTCTTTTCTGAAGTGGATTCAAAGTCAAAAAGTAGTAGTTTCAAAATTTGACGCCTTTAGTAAAATAGTGTTCTCTTTATCTGAATGAAGATGTACGAAATCCGACACTGGTACAAATTAGTTTTTGCAGGGAACTTTTTGTATTATATAACTTTGTTCGGTCGACAGATATATATGTTAAACTTAACGCAAAATGGCACTGAGCCATCTGGTGAAAAAATCGATTTTATGAATGGAATGATGATTTACAGCCTTCAAAATATTCGAGCTGTTGACTTTGATAATGAGCTTAAAGGGGAATCTCCATGTTCTAAAGCTACTGGAGGTTGTTCACATATATGCGTCAAGCTGTGAGTTGTATCTTATTGCTTGCTGAAGTTAGCATGAACTTTTAGTTCTCTTAGGCAGCGTCATTTAGACCTGATGGTGGTAAACGGTGCTTATGTCGAGAAGGATATGAACTCTTAATGGATGGAGTGACTTGCCATTTGCCTGAAGCGTTTCTGGTTTATAAACAGTTTAGTAATCCAAACGCAATAACGAGAATTTCTTTGAATCCTAAGCTATCATCTCCGGAGAGGATTTACATCGATGATGAGAAAGCGACTTTTGAAAATATAGCAATCGATCATGTTAGTTTGCTGAATCGTGAAATTTATTATCATTGTTTTTTTTGAAAAGTGT